TATACAGTGTGTGTATATTTTATTTATATAGCGCTAACAGGTGTACTCAGCACTTTACAGGTTACATTACAGTAGAGGGAGATACAGTAAGTGCAGTAGGTATACAGTGTATGTATATTTTATTTATATAGCGCTAACAGGTGTACTCAGCACTTTACAGGTTATATTACAGTAGAGGGAGGTACAGTAAGTGCAGTAGGTATACAGTGTATGTATATTTTATTTATATAGCACTAACAGGTGTACTCAGCACTTTACAAGTTACATTACAGTGGAGGGAGGTACAGTAAGTGCAGTAGGTATACAGTGTATGTATATTTTATTTATATAACGCTAACAGGTGTACTCAGCACTTTACAGGTTACATTACAGTAGAGGGAGGTACAGTAAGTGCAGTAGGTATACAGTGTATGTATATTTTATTTATATAGCGCTAACAGGTGTACTCAGTACTTTACAGGTTACATTACAGTAGAGGGAGGTACAGTAAGTGCAGCAGGTATACAGTGTGTGTATATTTTATTTATAAAGCGCTAACAGGTGTACTCAGCACTTTACAGGTTACATTACAGTAGAGGGAGATACAGTAAGTGCGGTAGGTATACAGTGTGTGTATATTTTATTTATATAGCGCTAACAGGTGTACTCAGCACTTTACAGGTTACATTACAGTAGAGGGAGGTACAGTAAGTGCGGTAGGTATACAGTGTATGTATATTTTATTTATATAGCGCTAACAGGTGTACTCAGCACATTACAGGTTACATTACAGTAGAGGGAGGTACAGTAAGTGCGGTAGGTATACAGTGTATGTATATTTAATTTATATAGCTCTAACAGGTGTACTCAGCACTTTACAGGTTACATTACAGTAGAGGGAGGTACAGTAAGTGCAGTAGGTATACGGTGTGTGTATATTTTATTTATATAGCGCTAACAGGTGTACTCAGCACTTTACAGGTTACATTACAGTAGAGGGAGGTACAGTAAGTGCAGTAGGTATACAGTGTATGTATATTATATTTATATAGTGCTAACAGGTGTACTCAGCACTTTACAGGTTACCTTTTGGGTACCCCAGCACTTTACAGGTTACCTTTTGGGTACCCCTGTAGTACACAATGGTGTATACTTAGCACTGTACGCTTTACATTCCAATAAAGGAATACTTACATGGGCGTAGGAACCAGGGGGGATGGGGAGGACTCATCCCCCCAGCAAATCATGCGGGGGGGACAGGTTATAGAGAAATCCCCCCCAGCTCCGCCTGCCACAGGTGCCCTCGGGCTGCGTGCGGCTCCATCAGGGAACAGTACGTGCAGTAGGTATACAGTGTATGTATGTATTTATTTTATTTATATAGTAGCTAACAGGTGTACTCAGCACTTTACAGGTTACATTACAGTAGAGGGAGGTACAGTAAGTGCAGTAGGTATACAGTGTGTGTTTATTATATTTATATAGCGCTAACAGGTGTACTCAGCACTTTACAGGTTACATTACAGTAGAGGGAGGTACAGTAAGCGCAGTAGGTATACAGTGTATGTATATTTTATTTATATAGCGCTAACAGGTGTACTCAGCACTTTACAGGTTACATTACAGTAGAGGAAGGTACAGTAAGTGCAGTAAGTATACAGTGTATGTATATTTTATTTATATAGCACTAACAGGTGTACTCAGCGCTTTACAGGTTACATTACAGTAGAGGAAGGTACAGTAAGTGCAGTAAGTATACAGTGTATGTATATTATATTTATATAGCGCTAACAGGTGTACTCAGCACTTTACAGGTTACATTACAGTAGAGGAAGGTACAGTAAGTGCAGTAGGTATACAGTGTATGTATATTTTATTTATATAGCGCTAACAGGTGTACTCAGCACTTTACAGGTTACATTACAGTAGAGGGAGGTACAGTAAGTGCAGTAGGTATACAGTGTATGTATATTTTATTTATATAGCGCTAACAGGTGTACTCAGCACTTTACAGGTTACATTACAGTAGAGGGAGGTACAGTAAGTGCAGTAGGTATACAGTGTATGTATATTATATTTATATAGCTCTAACAGGTGTACTCAGCACTTTACAGGTTACATTACAGTAGAGGGAGGTACAGTAAGTGCAGTAGTATACAGTGTATGTATATTTTATTTATATAGCGCTAACAGGTGTACTCAGCACTTTACAGGTTACATTACAGTAGAGGGAGGTACAGTAAGTGCAGTAGGTATACAGTGTATGTATATTTTATTTATATAGCGCTAACAGGTGTACTCAGCACTTTACAGGTTACATTACAGTAGAGGGAGGTACAGTAAGTGCAGTAGATATACAGTGTATGTATATTATATTTATATAGTGCTAACAGGTGTACTCAGCACTTTACAGGTTACATTACAGTAGAGGGAGGTACAGTAAGTGCAGTAGGTATACAGTGTATGTATATTTTATTTATATAGCGCTAACAGGTGTACTCAGCACTTTACAGGTTACATTACAGTAGAGGGAGGTACAGTAAGTGCAGTAGTTATACAGTGTATGTATATTTTATTTATATAGCGCTAACAGGTGTACTCAGCACTTTACAGGTTACATTACAGTAGAGGGAGGTACAGTAAGTGCAGTAGGTATACAGTGTATGTATATTTTATTTATATAGCACTAACAGGTGTACTCAGCACTTTACAGGTTACATTACAGTAGAGGGAGTTACAGTAAGTGCAGTAAGTATACAGTGTATGTATATTTTGTTTATATAGTGCTAACAGGTGTACTCAGCACTTTACAGGTTACATTACAGTAGAGGGAGGTACAGTAAGTGCAGTAGATATACAGTGTATGTATTTTATATTTATATAGTGCTAACAGGTGTACTCAGCACTTTACAGGTTACATTACAGTAGAGGGAGGTACAGTAAGCGCAGTAGTTATACAGTGTATGTATATTTTATTTATATAGCGCTAACAGATGTACTCAGCACTTTACAGGTTACATTACAGTAGAGGGAGGTACAGTAAGTGCAGTAGGTATACAGTGTATATATATTTTATTTATATAGCGCTAACAGATGTACTCAGCACTTTACAGGTTACATTACAGTAGAGGGAGGTACAGTAAGCGCAGTAGGTATACAGTGTATGTATATTTTATTTATATAGCGCTAACAGGTGTACTCAGCACTTTACAGGTTACATTACAGTAGAGGCAGGTACAGGAAGTGCAGAGTTGAGTATTGTATATGTATATTGTAAGTTTACTTGTTATGGTTATTGAAGTTTCGTTTAATTCTTTGCTTTGGTATTTTATAATAATTTAATTATTGCGAGATGTCATTTCTGTATCGTTCCTGAAAACTGACGACTCTGCATTTTATTCACAAACTTCTTCTTTTTCCCCAAACTTCCGTTTTATAAAGTTGCAGATTTCTTCTCGGTTTTGATGATAAAGCGATTCTAATTTGGAATTACTTGTAATATTGTTACATAATTCTTGGGTAATAGCTATTTACCGCTCATCTTGATATATTTTGGGAAATTCCCCAATATTGTTTGTGTTATAATCATAAGACATATAACCTTTTCTCGCTAATACATTTTCAAACCCACTTTTAAAGGCGCACTCCATGCACCATACCCAATACAGCACACTGTAGTGGTTATGGTGCCTAGAATGCCCAGGCTCCCCAATTCGTAAGGAGTCAAGACATTTTAGAATTGTTTGACTTCTTACCTGGGGACAGACAAGGCTGCTCACCGCCTCCTCTACAGCTCTCCTGGGCTGAACCCTGCAGTGCAGAGCTAGACATTGGCTGAACGTGTCACCTGATCATTCTCAGCCAATGAGTTACGCCTTGCAGTGATGGCCTTAGCGCATGTGCTGTGGTTGCTATGGGTGGAGAGTATAAAGACCATGTGCCTGTGGGTGGTCTGTACTGCTCTCCTTTATCAATCAATTTTTTGGGTATGATCTATACCGAAGAATTGATTGACAGGTGACAGAAAAAAAACATTTTTAAGTACAATCTATACATATACTAGCAAAACAGCTAGCACAACGTATAGCAGAGATTTGCTGCTTATAAAAAACAGGAGACAGGTTCCCTTTAGAGGGACACTGAGGGCACAGCAATTGCTTCATCTCTTCGAAGTGGTTATAGTGTCTTCAGTTCCATGGCGCTGTCCTTCCATTCAGTGTTAAGCTGTTTTTAATGTGTTAATGCTTCAGGTGCCTCATCCCAGGGCCCTATTTAGCCTTGTACCGCAGAGAGCCCCTGATGGAATTTTTTCCCTAAGTAAGTAGCTCATGAAGCAGACACTAGGCTGTGAGAGTAGGACCTGCCAAAGATGGGGTACATTGACGTTGTGGCAGGCTTATGCAATGCATGATCATATACTGTAACTAAACCCCCATTCTTTTTGCCTAGATTAGGGGTTTTTAAAAAAAACTAACTAAATCTGTCAGCACTGAAGTGGCTGTTTAGGGGATAATGAAGTGCGCTGGATTTTCTGTATTTATTGTATAAATTGGCTCCCAGCAGCACCCTATTTATGCATATTCAGGTGAGTGCAGCCAGCCCCCTGTTTTCTAAAATGATTTAACACTGAAAGGAAGGACAGCGCCAGGGGACTTCAGGTACTATGACCACTTCAATTTGATGAGATGGTTATAGTGCCTACAGTGTTCCTTTAGCATTATCCAAAACACGTTCAGGGTTTTCACTAAATTTCGCAAGTATTCTAAGTGAATTTCAAATTTAAGGCCAAGGTAACCGAACTAGAAAAATTATCTAAGTCAACTATGGTTTCAGTTCAGCTAGATTGGCCTAAAAATTTTAATTAATTTAGAATTCTTAATTTAGTAAATAATCCGATGAGAATTTTTAAGAATAACTGCTAGCATACAGAGCTTTCAATGAAACCACAAAAAAACAGTAAAAGTGGCCCCGTTTATTATTATTACTGTCATAATTCACTGCTGTAAACTGTCCAAAAAAGGGGAAATGAACAGGGAAGTGAAACTCGAGGATAAGATCAGCGTACAGCCAAGAACACAATCTCCGGAGCTTGATCAGTCCTCTCGGAGAAACCGGGCGCACTGTGTGGACATCCTCCAAGGTAGGTTCTCTGGTGATACCAAATATACTCTGGGGGCAACTCACTAAATTGAAATTTGTAGCAAACAGTAAACTGAATTTATTCAATATTGGCCAAAGGATTCCTGCTGGAAATATAGGGCAGCTGGGGGAAAAGATGTCTAATTCATTTTCCTGGGCCTGCATCTTACATTTCACCAGAATTCCCTGTTTACTGAATAAGACCCTGCTGTCTATCGGAATCTGCAAACGGTCAGCCATTTTGAAAGCAGAGAAGATGATTTCGCTTATGGCCTACAGGTTTATTTGCCAAACGGTGAACTACAGTCAATCAGCAACGATATTTCATCAATTTAACTTACAATTTCATTCCAGCTCCAGCTATTTAACCAAGTCAGCCATCAATGCACTATAATTTACTATTTAGTAAATACGCCCTTGTTATTACCATATCGATGACAATCCATAGCGTCAAGCGTCAGTTTCTAACTGAACAAAGACAGATGGAAAATAGTTTTTTGGAACGCATTCTGCTCTGAAATCCCCCACATTTTGGGGAGGATGAGATAAGCATTTGCCCTATTTGGGTGAGATTTGTTTTGGGCTTCAACTCCCAATTATATTATTGTATATGTATTATTTACAGCTTAATAAATGCTAAATGCTGGGCGATATAAACGCCATATTATATTGTTAGAATTTATTCATAATTGGGGACATTTATTGAAGTGATTCTAACAGAAAAGTGGCACAATGGTCTTCATGTGGAGCAACGTGATGCTATTGGTTTCCATGGTAACTGCTCCAAACGTCTGCTTTACATAATGGCAGCTCGGAAGGCAAGCAGTGGTATTTGCAGGCGTGTATATCTCATGATTGATAATAACTAATTCCAAAGAACCCCTACTAAAAGAGGAAAAAAGGAAATAAGAAGTCCCTAAAAATTAAAAAAATAAATGATAAGGAACGTTTATTCAAAATTTCACAATTCTTTTATTGAAATCATAAAAAGAAAATAGTTTGTCCAATTTTGAATAAAAGTTTCTTATCATTTTTTGGGGGGACTTGCTCATTTCCATTGTTTCTCTTTTAGTAGGCATTCTTTGGAATTAGTTATTATTATCCAATGCTCTATGGGTTATGCCCTTGCAAGCTCCCCAACGCGACCTATTGATCTTCTATATCAGGGGTTCCCAAACCCAGTCCTCAAGTACCCCCTACCAGTCCAGGATTTAGGGATTACCCTGTTGTGTCTAAAGCAGGCCTGTCCAACCTGCGACCCCCCAGATGTTGCTGAACTACAACTCCCATGATTCCCTGGCGATCTGTTTCATTGAAAGAATCATGGGAGTTGTAATTCAGCAACATCTGGGGGGAGGGGGGGGGGGGCGCAGGTTCGACAGGCCTGGTCTAAAGTGTGTTTTTTTGTGTGTTTTTAAAAAAAACTGGGTAATCCCTAAATCCTAGACAGTTAGGGGGCACTTGAGGACTGGGTTGGGAACCCCTGCTCTATAGGGGTCAGTTTATATATTATTTGTATATCTTATAGTGGATACGACCAGGGTTATAGGAGCATTGTCAGCAATTCAAAGGAAATAAAAAATTTTTTAAAATTACTGAATTTGGTAAATTCTCCAAGTCAGCTATGAATGACAGTTCCACTATTTTGGTGTGAAATTCGGGACAATTCTCATTTTAGTAAATAAGTGTGTAAGTCTCCATATAGCATACAGCATTCACAAAACCCTGAGCTGGTTAACGCTGTTTGAAAAAGAAGAGAACACAATGTGGTCCATTTTTTTAAGGTTTTACTAGAGGACACCTGAGGCTAAGTGCTTCATTTGCAGCAATTAAATGAAACACCCCATTGGTTTCCATGGTAAATGCATGAAATGTAGCACTTTGTACTAGAAACTCGCCATTATGACAATAAAGGAATCATGTATCTGAGCCAGTGTGTTGTGTTTTCTGTATTGTGTTGTGTGTTCAATGTAGTATGTTTTGTGTGTTCTCTGTTGTGTGCTCTGTTTTGTGTTGTGTGGTTTGTTTTGGTTTCTGTTTAATGTAGTATGTTGTGTGTGTTGCGTTCTGTTCTGTTTTCTGTATTGTGTTTTGTGCTCTGAGTTTCTGTTGTCACATTAAGCTAATTTTGTCATTCTCTCAGTTTTTTGGTAGAAATGCCTCGACATATTGTCCTGCTCTCTGTGCTGCTGTTATTCGTCTTTGGCTCGATTCATTCACAGACCAGTGTGTGCCCAGCAGTAAATGGCAAGAATGGCATTCCGGGTCGCGCAGGAAGACCTGGACAGAAAGGAGACAGGGGGGATCCCGGTATGCTCGAGGGGGAGGTTTACAAAATGAATGTTCCTAATACTGATTTAATTATTAATGATACATTGTCACTGGGTACATTTAGATTGAAGTTCATTACACCATCTCAGCTATACACCAATTCGCACTAGCATTGTAATCTCTGTACTAACTACATACATCTAGTAACCGTTTTATGTAGCACACAGGTGAAAAAAGGATATAAAAAAAAAAAAAAATACAAAAGCTCTCTTAGAAAATTGCAGACCCACCAGGAAATGCATCAAGTCCTCAACATTCGGGGCCACCAAGAAATGGTCCTAGCACCAGAGGTCAAGAACTCGGATTAAGGGCTCACAAGTAAAGTCACAAACACAGTTTTTCACAGGGGACATAAATGATAGGGGTGCTAAACTATGAAGTGTTAGGGATAGTTTAGGGGGGTTGACAAAAAAGTCAGTACTGAGAACACAGGAAGTATGAAGAGGATAATAGATATTAATATTTGTTGTCTCTTTTCCCAGGTGCGATGATCAGAGGATATGACTTCACTGCAACAAAGGGTGATCCAGGAGACCCAGGTGTGACTGGTGAACCTGGCCGTGAAGGTAGTGTTGGTCCAATAGGGTCTCCTGGAGCTCCAGGAAATCAAGGTCCTAAGGGGCCCAAAGGAGCAGTAGCCAACATGGCAATTCAAAAACGCCCAGCATTCTCAGCAGAAGACCCCAAAGTGGATAAAAATGGCAAGACAGTGGTCTTTAGTAAGATCATAACCAACCAAGAAAATATGTACAACAAAGACACAGGCAAATTCACATGTGCTGAACCAGGGTACTATTATTTTACATTCCAGGTGGTGGGCAATGGGGATCTCTGTCTGTATATTAACACCAACATCCCCGGTAAAGACAACCCCCTCCTTAGTTTTTGTGACGTCAATTCAAAGAAATTTCACCAGGTGAATTCTGGGGGGACGGTTCTTTTTCTGAATAAAGGTAATCAGGTGTGGATTGAAACAAATGAAAAAAGTAAAAATATTGCAACTGGCGAGGACATCAGCAGCGTATTCAGTGGATTTCTCATTTTTCCTCTTAAAGATGGAGCCTCGTAGAGAAAGGAAACATTAAGTCTCACATTATAGCAAGGGGGACACAGGCCGTAAAGAGATTATCTGATTTATCTCACTGAAAGTTTAGCAAATTATTGAGTTTGGTTATATGGCTGTTATTTCTAAAAAAAAAAAACTTTAAATCATATTAATCCTTCAGTGTTTTGGAAGGGGGGCTAACAAACCAAACCAGTCATGCTAAGGTTAAATTGACTTTCTCCTTTGCAGTGCCAAAAAAAAAAAAAATTTAACCTTGGCGTAAATATACTTACTTTATACTTATTTTTTACATCAGATATTTTGCTTGGCATTATATAGATAAGCATTCTTATGGTTTACTTTAACGCTATTTGGGGGGTGGAAATATTTGCATTTGTTGATTTTGTTGCATAATTTTTGTTAATAAAAAGCAAATTTGCCTCTTGTTTACCAAATCTGAATATATTTTTGCAATAAATTGAAATCTAAGCCATCAGTTTGTTGATTTGTGATTTTTATTTTTAAATAACTTCATAGTGCATGATTAATTTAAAAAAATCTAAATTTTTATGTGTGACGTTTCTAACTAAAAATGTTGATGAATATGTTGTATACTGCAAACACAGACACGTTTTTGTTTCTTTACACTGTGCACATTTAGGTCACAATAACAATTAATTCCAGAAAATCAACTCTTTATGATCTAGTCTATGGCTACCCTTGCACTTAGCATTAGGAGAGCATTTATAATGGGAAGCGTCAAAGTCCCCTCCCATCCTCCTGCGCTTCAACCATTTATGATAAGGCAGTATTTTGTTTTATATATATGTTTAAATCCCACCCCTAGTGCACTCCCCATTCTTTCCATCCCTCCCCACCCTGGATCAGAGAAACATCTGATTGGCCCTCGGAGTGATGCAGTGTGATTATAAACCGTGTGTGGGAACGAGCAAGGAGAGCTTCACCCGGTATTCAAATTTTTTTTAAATATTTTTTTAATGAAAAAAGGGGGGTGGACAAGGATACTGGTGCTCAATATAATTAAGCTAAAAACACAAATCGTAAAAAAGAATATAGCAACATTTTTTAAAATGTTGATCGTGCTAGACCTTGCAGTAGCCTGTTGCGTGTGATTAAAGTTCAATTAACAGAGCAGGAGAAAAAAAATTCTAGTAAACATAGTGTGCTATCACATCTGATTGAAAATGAAACAATTTGTTTCATGCAGGCTGTGTCATCCAGGGGAGGTCTGACAAGGGCTGCATAAACAGAAACAAAAGTGATTTAACTCCTAAATAACAGTGAATTGAGCAGTTAGACTGCAATATCTATACACCAAAACCACTTAATTACGCTGAAGGCGTGCTTAGAATATGCCCTTAAACTTATTTAAATGGACACTCCCGAGCCCTAATCACTTTAGCTGGCTGCGAAGAGTGTGTCCTCTATTTTCATTTTACAAAAAGGACAGATTTCAATAAAAAATGTACACTTTTATAAATTAACCTGGTTACACCCCCCCGTTCCCCTTCCCCCAGCTTTCAAATAGGTAAATGGTCCTGTTACATCCTGGTTTGGTTAGCTCCGTGGAGCTGAACTCAAGAGGCAGCAATTCCCCAGAGCACTTGCCTTGCAAAAACACCTCATTGAGCTGCATGGGGAAGTCTGTGATTGGACAGTCACAGTAAGTCTAGGCAGTGCTAGAAGGGAAGGGCTTACAAAGGCTGCAGGCAAGAGATCTTTTGCAAGTTGTTTTTAGATATAACCCTAGTTAAAAAGTGCGTAATATCCTGCAGGCACTCGGCCTTCCAGCGCTAACAACACAGCAGTTGACCCATCCAACATGGACTGTAGCGGAGATTACCCCCTTCGTGCCTAGAAGAGAGGCTCAGAAAACCTCTGCCCTACAAACCTGAAGCAGCAGCAGAGCAGGGCCCACACGCCCTTAACCTGTTGCGCCTGACAAGGGACATACCTGATCCGTTCCACGTTTGTTCTTGGTTATTCCCAATACTGATGCTGTTGGTTATTGTTTTTTATTTCTGTTTTTATTCTCCCTTTTCTCTCCACCAAATGCTGCTTCTTAACACTATGCTCTTCCCAAACCCGCACAATACTGGCTCCGTAAGCTTTCATAATAATAATACGCATTGGGCCACTTTCACCCCCCCCTCTCCTAACAACCAGAGTGCGTTACACAGCTCGAAATATACCGCACACTACCTGCTGCACTCTTAGCTAGCAACTTAGTTGACCACACCCAGCTAAGACACACATACCTACCCAAGCTCACCTAACTAAGGTCCCACGCTCAACACTAGCACATTCAGAGGTGCCTTAATACCTACTACAAGTTATACCTTGACACAAAGCATGCAGGCACCTAACGCTACACAATGCCTTTAATACACATTATTTAAAAAATAAAAACGAGGCCGACAAGTTTCGGAGATGTTGTATGGTAAACTGTGATACCCCATCCTGTATGACTTTTATTGTCTCCCTTTCTTTATTCTGTACCCGTAAAGTCTATGCCTCAATAAAAGAAAGAATGAAAAAAAAAAAAAAGTGCGTAATAATTGCAGGCATGTTTTCATTTGGGGTATATCTACTAAATAATTATGTATTTATTTATTTTGTATTTGGGCAGTGTAGTGTCCCTTTAAGTTATTATTTGTGGTCAAACTGCTTGGCACCAGTTTAAAGGGGCACTATATTGTCAAGAACAAAAACATGTATTCCTGACACTATAGTTCTAATACCACTTTTTAGGTGGTTGGCCCCCCTTACCTGGGGGTTAGAAAAGTGATTTACTCCCCTTTTTCCAGTGCCATGTGGAACTCCTCACTTCTGACCCTGCCGAGATCGACCTCCTTGGCTAACACAATCAGAATTAATGATCTAAGCCAATCAAAATGCTTTCCCATTGGAAAGCATTGGATTTGCTGTTATCGTCAATTCTGAAGATCTCAGTCAAGTAGGTGGAACCAAACGCAGACTTGGCCAATCAGCATCTCCTCATAGAGATACATCGAAGCAATGTATCTCCATAGGGAAAGTTCAGCGCCTCCATGCAGAGCGTGGAGACAGTGAATATCAGTAAGCACCTCTAATGGTCCTCTGAGGTGTGACCACTGTAGGTGCCCCTAGGCTGCAATGTAAAGCCTGCCTTTTCTCTGGAAAGGAAGTGTTTACATGAAAATGCCTGCAGGGACTGACTACGCTCACCAGAACAAATATAATAAGCTGTAATTGCTCCGGTGACTATAGTGTCCCTTTAACCTTGAAGTTTGGACTCCAACACATGGCACTCCTCTGTTCCTCTCAGCTGTGCTGTACAAGGTAGGGTTCAGCCACTTTCAGCCAATCGATGGGCACCCATTGAGAAAATTAATACATGTCATTTTTTACACTGGGTACCCACTGATAGGCTGAGTTCGATTTCATTCCAACAGCAACATTAGTGGGAGATAATATTCTATAGCCATATAAAGTAAATTTTCCTTCTCCGCAAATGTTGAGGATATTCTGCTAGTTGGCATCTTCCACTGGTCAATATCTCTTCCCACATTTACTGTCTATGGGAGCACAGTCTGATGATAAATTTAATTTTTAGTTTGGAACTCTGTATTTATGGCACAGAAATAGCCCCTTTAAAGCATTTTTAGCTAAGGGGGTTATGTATAGAATAACGATTGGTTGAGGTTGGGAATAATAAGGGGGGAATGTTGTGAGACACGTTGTGGTAAACTACACACTTTATATTTTTAGTACTTCTTTGTTTATTTTATGTTTTTGTAAGATGGGGGTTAGTGCTTTCTGAATGATTATGTTTTAGAAATGGGGCTAGTCTTATTTTACCTTTTACTTTCTTTTGCAAATACTTCCCTTTAGTCTGTTTGAATTGGAGCATTATATCTTTACTCACAGTATATTCAAAAACGACTAATATTTAAATTATTCAATATATCTGATCTAAAAAAATACATTATGTTGTTTTTTTAATTTGTCAATTTTGTCCTAAAATCTGATATTCCCTTTTCAGTTCTCTAAAACATTTTTCTGAATAACCCCCATAATGAATGATATATATATTGTATGTGCACATACGTATAGAGTCCGCTAAAATAAATAGTAGTAAGGCCTCTAAAGAGGACCAAGTAAGACTATAGGGAAATCCGATATGTGGACCAATATATAAGAGAAACGGAACATAAGTACAGACTGCTCCGTACAAAAGATGAAAATTAAATAAACCAAGTCGCGCAAAAACTGCTCATTTTCTATGAGATTAAGGAACATATCCCCAGGTTTTTAATTCCTCACCTTTATGTGATTTTCACTAACACAATTTTCTATGGTGTTTCTATCCCGGGTAAGCTTTATACCTATTATATATATTTTCTTTGCTTAATTTTAGTTCAATAAAGGTTATTACCATTTTCTTTGTTACGTTTACTTAGGAGGTAATCTTCTAGAGTGAGATTGAATCCCATTCACTTTTGAGTGAGTGTTTTTTTCTATCTCACTCTTTCAGTTGGTAGTTATTTACTTGTTGTGGGGTTAAGCCCCCGTGTTACCTCTTGTAACCTACCTTGGGGTTCTGACGTTGGCTAGTCCAACATCACCACTCCTATCTCATATTTAACCCCATAATGTTTAATATCTGAATCCTTTTCGAGTCCGGTGGATGTTGTGGGTAGTTTATGGACAAGATACAGGATATGAAACTCTGCTTTGTCCACAAGTGAAGTAAAAAACACAGTTTGTTCCTCAAATAATTTCTTCATCAACATCTTTCTTAGGGAACGCCTCTTATAAGAAAATCTGTGCTGTGATCTGCGAGACTTAACAGCAAGTCATATATCTATATCGTGAGCGAGGTAAGAATAATGTAATGTTTATTACAACAAAAATATCAAATTCTGTAATATGTAGAGAATTCCTTATGGAATTATATTTTGTTATGAACATTCTAATATCATATACATAGACACTACTATTAATCTTGTTAGAAACGTAGATTTCCAGAATAATATAACGGGTCATATATGAATACAATGGGAGCTAGATATAAAGGGATTACATGCTAATAATATAGGGGGTTTACGTGGTGAGAACAAGCTTTCAGAATAATCGGGGTGTGCATGGAATGATATAGGTACGCCCCCTATAAGAATAATACAGGGGTGTACATGAGGAATCAAATATTCATGTAAGTTCATATATTCACCTAGGATTCCTTATAAAAATATTGAGGGTATATATGAAAGGGCTGTCCATAAATACAATGGTGGGTGTACATATAGGAAGGGATCCTAAAGGAATATTATAGGGGGTGTATGTAGTGGGATCCTATATAAGTATTATAGGGGGTGTAAATATATGGAGGGGTCCTATATGTGTATATTAGGCGGTGTACATGGAAGAATCCTGTAGGACCAATATAGGGGGTGTACATATAAGGAGGGATCGTATAGAAGTTCTATAGGGGGTGTACATATATGGAGGAATCGTATAGAAGTTATATAGGGGTGTATATAGAGGGATCCTAAATAAGTATATTAGGCGGTGTATATGGAAGAATCCTGTAGGACCAATATAGGGGGTGTACATATATGGAGGGATCGTATAGAAGTTATATAGGGGGTGTACATATATGGAGGGATCGTATAGACGTTATATAGGGGTGTATATAGAGGGATCCTATATGAGTATATTAGGCGGTGTATATGGAACAATCCTGTAGGACCAATATAGGGGGTGTACATATATGGAGGAATCGTATAGAAGTTATATAGGGGGTGTACATATATGGAGGAATCGTATAGAAGTTATATAGGGGGTGTACATATATGGAGGAATTGTATAGAAGTTATATAGGGGGTGTACATATATGGAGGAATCGTATAGAAGTTATATAGGGGGTGTACATATATGGAGGAATCGTATAGAAGTTATATAGGGGGTGTACATATATGGAGGAATCATATAGAAGTTATATAGGGGTGTATATAGAGGGATCCTAAATAAGTATATTAGGCGGTGTATATGGAAGGATCCTGTAGGACCAATATAGGGGGTGTACATATATGGAGGAATCGTATAGAAGTTACATAGGGGGTGTACATATATGGAGGGATCGTATAGAAGTTATATAAGGGTGTATATAGAGGGATCCTATATAAGTATATTAGGCGGTGTATATGGAAGGATCCTGTAAGACCAATATAGGGGGTGTAGGGATTGTACAATTCGTTGACAAACACAGACAATGTATTAGCCCTAATGAAATTTAAATTAACCTGAAAGAGGCAATTGCCAATAATCCCCCTGTTTCTATGTAGACAAAGCTATTATTCTAATTGTAATGTTGTATTTCAGGACAGGAGATCGGGGCTGAAGAAAGATGTTGCTGAGTTTGGGGTTCATCTGTCTGACTTTCGTGAGCTTGGTGAGAAGCGAACCATGTGTTTCCTCCTCCCAAGGTCTACCAGGAATCCCCGGGACCCCAGGGAGAGATGGAAGGGATGGTCATAAGGGAACAAAAGGAGAACCAGGTAACTATATATTATATCAGCCTGCACGGGACAATATGCTTTGAATATTCTTAAATCACAAATCTGATTGTAGTGCAAGATTTTAGTCTTTAAGGTAACTTGTGTTTTATGTTACAGTTCTAACACTATGTGTAGAGCTTAGTTTACATTGTGATTCTACTCCCATGTACTATTCTAGTCCTGTGTTCTGGTTCTAGTTCTGTGTTCTGATTCTAGTCCTGTGTTCTGGTTTTATCTGCGTTCTGATTCTAGTGCTGTGTTCTGATTCGAGTTCTGTGTTCTGATTCTAGTCCTGTGTTCTGATTCTAGTTCTGATTCTAGTCCTGTGTTCTGATTCTAGTCCTCTGATTCGAGTTCTGTGTTCTGATTCTAGTCCTGTGTTCTGATTCTAGTTCTGTGTTCTGATTCTAGTTCTCTGTTCTGACTCTAGTCCTGTGTTCTGATTCTAGTCCTGTGTTCTGATTCTAGTTCTGTGTTCTGATTCTAGTCCTGTGTTCTGATTCGAGTTCTGTGTTCTGATTCTAGTCCTGTGTTCTGATTCTAGTTCTGTGTTCTGATTCTAGTTCTCTGTTCTGACTCTAGTCCTGTGTTCTGATTCTAGTCCTGTGTTCTGATTCTAGTTCTGTGTTCTGATTCTAGTCCTGTGTTCTGATTCGAGTTCTGTGTTCTGATTCTAGTCCTGTGTTCTGATTCTAGTTCTGTGTTCTGATTCTAGTTCTCTGTTCTGATTCTTGTCCTGTGTTCTGATTCTAGTCCTGTGTTCTGATTCTAGTTCTGTGTTCTGATTCTAGTCCTGTGTTCTGATTCTAGTTCTGTGTTCTGATTCTAGTTCTGTGTTCTGGTTCTAGTCCTGTGTTCTGATTCTAGTTCTGTGTTCTGATTTGAGTTCTGTGTTCTGATTCGAGTTCTGTGTTCTGATTCTAGTGCTGTGTTCTGATTCGAGTTCTGTGTTCTGATTCGAGTTCTGTGTTCTGATTCTAGTCCTGTGTTCTGATTAAAGTCCTGTGTTCTGATTCGAGTTCTGTGTTCTGATTTTAGTTCTGTGCTCTGATTCTAGTTCTGTGTTCTGATTCCAGTCCTGTGTTCTGATTCTAGTTCTGTGCTCTGGTTCTAGTCCTGTGTTCTGATTCGAGTTCTGTGTTCTGATTCTAGTTCTGTATTCTCATTCTAGTCCTGTGTTCTGATTCTAGTTCTGTATTCTGATTCTAGTCCTGTGTTCTGATTCTAGTTCTGTGTTCTGATTCTAGTCCTGTGTTCTGATTCTAGTTCTGTGCTCTGGTTCTAGTCCTGTGTTCTGATTCTAGTCCTGTGTTCTGATTCTAGTTCTGTGTTCTGATTCTAGTCCTGTGTTCTGATTTGAGTTCTGTGTTCTGTTTTTTTTGTTGTTGTCAATCTTTGTTTTATGGAAGCAATGTGAGTTCGTTACAGAAGGGAAGAAAAGGACGAATAACATATCAGCGAGTATTCATAGATATCAATAACCATTAACACTGATAAATATGCTCATGAATGTCTGCTTCATTTTATGTGTTAAAGGATGTCGCTATGTCTGGTTAGTTGGGCATGGATGATTGTGGTAATGCAGTAGTAGGGTAGATTAAATCAGATGCAATGCCTGTCTAGGTAGGTTAATGAAAGAGTGTAGGGTCTTAGACACACATTAGGCAAGTTGTTTGTGGGTCAGGCTGAAGTCGTCGCATTGGTAATTACATTTGGTTTTGGTAATAAACAGGCTAATCGTGTTGTCTCGTTTAATGTCGCAGCAGTATGTTGGTTGTTGCCACAGGCTAGTTTTGGCTGATTTCTTAATTGCTGAGTGCACACGTGTTAGATGAGGGAAGCAGATTAGTACGAACAGCTGGGCTTACCCGTGTGAGCTGAGTAGGTGTGTTATGCCGTGTTATGTGTAAAATAGATTCAGTAGCTGGTATGCTAGGCACATGTATGATCCGACCCCCCTTGCTAGGTATTTCACGTTACTATATACATCCTGTAGGCTAGCACTGTCAATGCCTGCTTAACGGTTAAATTATGTAGCTAGCGTTCAGGCTATAAAGGATAAAGTAAAACGAAATACGCTGAGTTAACAAGGGTGACCAGCAGGTAAAAATATGGAGGCAAGATTACACGTCAGGCCTGGTATGCATGGTAGTAAAAGTAGCATGGAATCAGGCCACAGCAGTCCATCACACAAGCTGTGGAAGTCACCAGTCTGTCATATTGTGGCAGGGTAGAAGCAGAGGTCGTTTGGCCATACGGTCTAACTCGTGGATGTACAGTACCAGTCCGCTTTTGTGGGTTAGTCCATACGCTTTCCCTCCTGATTCCTCTACTGGGCATGGTTGGCGCAGGCTTCTGTGATGTTTCTGCTGTCATGGTGTCACTGCGTCCAAGGACCGCTTGTCTTTGGCCCGAGGCCTTAATAGGCGCTCGCGTCTGTTCTGATTCTAGTCCTATGTTTTGGTTCTAGTCTCATGTTCTGGTTCTAGTATTCTGTTTCTAGTCCTGTGTGCTAGTTCCAGTCCTGTATTCCGTTTCTAGTCCTGTGAGCTAGTTCCAGTCCTGTATTCCGTTTCTAGTCCTGTGAGCTAGTTCCAGTCCTGTATTCTCTAAGCTACAAAACAAACACTACCCGAACAACTATTTCTCTAATCACTCGACGTCACATAAAGCGGGCACAGCCATACTCTTAGCAGCCGAGCTTGAATTCAAAGAATTAGAGAGAACACAAGATTCACACGGACGGTATCTCTTCTTGAAAGGAATCATAGCCGACAAGATATACACCCTGGCAAACATCTACGTCCCCAACCGAAGACAGGCTTCCTTCCTCCGAAACACGCTGCACATATTAGAAGAATTCACTGACGGCATACTAATCGTCGGAGGGGATTTTAACGTACCTCTGGACCCAATATTGGACTCCTCATCGGGACATAGTAGTATTTCACAAAACAACATCCGATCGATCCGAAAATCGCTGGAAGAATTGAGGCTGGTGGACGGCTGGAGAATACTCAACCCAACGGTAAAAGATTATACTTACTACTCCGCTCTTCACAACCGATACTCTCGCATAGACTACCTCTTCATAACACAGGAAGGACTCGCTCGCTTACTCAAAGCGGATATCGACCCGTCTACATGGTCGGACCATGGCTCGGTCAGGCTAGAGATGGAATCCCCCATGTTTCGCCCAACTACGTGGACGTGGAGACTTAATGAAGCTCTCCTACTCGATCCAGCCACCAAAGAACAAATAACCAAAGAGCTAGAACAATACTTCAGAGACAACGACACACCAGAGGTCTTCCCGATAACCATATGGGAAGCGCATAAGAGCGTCGTTCGCGGAACACTCATCCGCATTGCCTCGCAAAAACGGAAAGCGAATATGATCGAGATGACTAACCTATATCAAAAGATATCAAAGCTGGAAAGTCAACACAAAAGATCCCAACTACATGAAACATACGGGGAACTGATGGAACATAGAAGGGCACTTAAGAGACTCATCACAAAAAAACATCTCCGAAATCTCCAACGCACGAAGGGTTTCTACTATGCGCACGCCAATAAAGGGGGGAAATACCTGGCTAGATTATTAAAAGGCCCAACGCCTCGTAGACAAATACGCAAACTTCGCCTCTCCTCAGGAGAAATGACCCCCTATCCACAAAAAATCGCCGATGAGTTTAGGACCTACTATGAAACTCTTTACAACCTGAGCCCACCCATGGGGACGACGAGCGACGAAAGAAGAGCTACTCAGATACGAGATTACCTTTCTGACACGATCGTCAAAACGATTAACCAGGAATCAGCTTCAGCACTCGACATGCCAATCAGCACGGAAGAGCTTGCGGCTGCACTGAAAACGTCCAAATCAGGCAGGGCACCTGGACCAGATGGTTTTTCAACTGGATACTATAAGACCTTCCAGGATCTCCTGATACCGTGGCTAACTAAAGCGATCAATGCGGTGGGTGACGGAGGGCACCTGGGCGCGGAATCCTTAGCCGCGACCATCACGGTCTTGCTCAAGCCAGGAAAGGACCCATTGCTTTGCGGCAGCTACCGTCCCATTTCGCTGCTCAATGTAGACGCCAAACTAACCACAAAAGTCATAGCTAGCAGGCTCAACAACTTTCTTCCAGAATTGATACACGCAGACCAGATAGGCTTCATCCCGGGCAGAGAGGCCAGAGATAGCACCTTGCGACTGTTCTCAATCCAACAACACGCAAGAAAGACAAAAACTAAAATGCTATTACTATCCACGGACGCGGAGAAAGCGTTTGACAGAGTCGACTGGTCGTACATGATGGCCACCTTACAACATATGGGATGCGGACAGAGACTACTCGCATGGATATCAGCCTTCTATAGCAAACCGCACGCAAATGTGAGAGTAAACGGAGCCACGACAGCGGACTTTACAATTAACAATGGTACCCGTCAAGGTTGCCCACTGTCTCCACTTTTGTTCGCTATGACCCTAGAACCACTGCTCCAGAAGATACGACTAAACCCAAACATTCAAGGATACGACTGGCGTGGAACACACCATAAAGTGGCTGCGTACGCGGATGACCTCCTATTCTTTATACAGCACCCTAGGACAACTCTACCATGCCTCCTTTCCGAATTCGACAATTTCGGGAAAATCTCGGGCTTCAAACTCAATCTCTCAAAGTGCGAGGTCCTGAACATTACGATCCCCACGGAAGAATACATATCCCTGGACTCGCTATTCGCTTTTCACTGGTGTTACGGCCGGATGAAGTATCTGGGCATCTGGGTGACCACAGACCCAGAAGACATATACCGTCTCAATTTTGTCCCCCTTCTGAAAACAATTCTAGCGGACTTAGCTAGATGGTCGTACCCACATGTAACCTGGCATGGACGAGTCGCGATCCTCAAGATGAACATATTGCCGAGAATTCTATACCTTATGCAAACGATTCCACTAACCATCCCAGGGACCTTCTTCTCCACCCAGTCCTGTATTCTGTTTCTAGTCCTGTGTGCTAGTTCCAGTCCTGTATTCCGTTTCTAGTCCTGTGTGCTAGTTCCACTCCTGTATTCTGTTTCTAGTCCTGTGAGCTAGTTCCAGTCCTGTATTCCGTTTCTAGTCCTGTGTGCTAGTTCCAGTCCTGTATTCTGTTTCTAGTCCTGTGTGCTAGTTCCAGTCCTGTATTCCGTTTCTAGTCCTGTGTGCTAGTTCCACTCCTGTATTCTGTTTCTAGTCCTGTGAGCTAGTTCCAGTCCTGTATTCCGTTTCTAGTCCTGTGTGCTAGTTCCACTCCTGTATTCTGTTTTTAGTCCTGGATGCTAGTTCCAGTTCTGTACTTTGTTTCTAGTCCTCTGTGCTAGTTCCAGTCCTGTATTCTATTTCTTGTCCTGTGTGCTAGTTTCAGCCCTGTATTCTGTTTCTAGTCATGTGTGCTAGTTCCAGTCCTGTATTCTATTTCTAGTCCTGTGAGCTAGTTCCAGTCCTGTATTCTGTTTCTAGTCCTGTATTCTGTTTCTAGTCCTGTGTGCTAATTCCAGTTCTGTATTCTGTTTCTAGTCCTGTGTGCTAATTCCAGTTCTGTATTCTGTTTCTAGTCCTGTGTGCTAGTTCCAGTCCTGTATTCCGTTTCTAGTCCTGTGTGCTAGTTCCACTCCTGTATTCTGTTTCTAGTCCTGTGAGCTAGTTCCAGTCCTGTATTCCGTTTCTAGTCCTGTGTGCTAGTTCCAGTCCTGTATTCTGTTTCTAGTCCTGTGTGCTAGTTCCAGTCCTGTATTCCGTTTCTAGTCCTGTGTGCTAGTTCCACTCCTGTATTCTGTTTCTAGTCCTGTGAGCTAGTTCCAGTCCTGTATTCCGTTTCTAGTCCTGTGTGCTAGTTCCACTCCTGTATTCTGTTTTTAGTCCTGGATGCTAGTTCCAGTTCTGTACTTTGTTTCTAGTCCTCTGTGCTAGTTCCAGTCCTGTATTCTATTTCTTGTCCTGTGTGCTAGTTTCAGCCCTGTATTCTGTTTCTAGTCATGTGTGCTAGTTCCAGTCCTGTATTCTATTTCTAGTCCTGTGAGCTAGTTCCAGTCCTGTATTCTGTTTCTAGTCCTGTATTCTGTTTCTAGTCCTGTGTGCTAATTCCAGTTCTGTATTCTGTTTCTAGTCCTGTGTGCTAATTCCAGTTCTGTATTCTGTTTCTAGTCCTGCGTGCTCATTCCAGTCCTGTATTCTGTTTCTAGTCCTGTGTGCTAATTCCAGTCCTGTATTCTGTTTCTAGTCCTTTGTGCTAGTTCCAGTCCTGTATTCTGTTTCTAGTCCTTTGTGCTAGTTCCAGTTCTGTATTCTGTTTCTAGTCCTTTGTGCTAGTTCCAGTCCTGTATTCTGTTTCTAGTCCTGTGTGCTAGTTCCAGTCCTGTATTCTGTTTCTAGTCCTTTGTGCTAGTTCCAGTCCTGTATTCCGTTTCTAGTCCTGTGTGCTAATTCCCGTTTCTAGTCCTTTGTGCTAGTTCCAGTCCTGTATTCTGTTTCTAGTCCTTTGTGCTAGTTCTAGTACTGTATTCCATTTCTAGTCCTGTGTGCTAGTTCCAGTCCTGTATTCTGTTTCTAGTCCTGTGTGCTAGTTCCAGTCCTGTATTCCGTTTCTAGTCCTGTGTGCTAGTTCCATTCCATTATTCTGTTTCTAGTCCTTAGTGCTAGTTCCAGTCCTGTATTCCATTTCTAGTCCTGTGTTCTAGTTCTAGTCCTGTATTCCATTTCTAGTCATGTGTGCTAGTTCCAGTCCTATATTCTGTTTCTAGTCCTTTGTGCTAGTTCCAGTCCTGTATTCCGTTTCTAGTCCTGTGTGCTAGTTCCAGTCCTGTATTCTGTTTCTAGTCCTGTGTGCTAGTTCCAGTCCATTATTCTGTTTCTAGTCCTTTGTGCTAGTTCCAGTCCTGTATTCCGTTTCTAGTCCTGTGTGCTAGTTCCAGTCCTGTATTCTGTTTCTAGTCCTTTGTGCTAGTTCCAGTCCTGTATTCCGTTTCTAGTCCTTTGTGCTAGTTCCAGTCCTGTATTCCATTTCTAGTCCTGTGTTCTAGTTCCAGTCCTGTATTCCGTTTCTAGTCCTGTGTGCTAGTTCCAGTCCTGTATTCATTTTCTAGTCCTTTGTGCTAGTTCCAGTCCTGTATTCCATTTCTAGTCCTGTGTGCTAGTTCCAGTCCTGTATTCTGTTTCTAGTCCTGGATGCTAGTTTCAGTCCATTATTCTGTTTCTAGTCCTTTGTGCTAGTTCCAGTCCTGTATTCTGTTTCTGGTCCTGTGTGCTAGTTCCAGTCCTATATTCTGTTTCTAGTCCTTTGTGCTAGTTCCAGTCCTGTATTCCGTTTCTAGTCCTTTGTGCTAGTTCCAGTCCTGTATTCCATTTCTAGTCCTGTGTGCTAGTTCCAGTCCTGTATTCATTTTCTAGTCCTTTGTGCTAGTTCCAGTCCTGTATTCTTTTTCTAGTCCTGTGTGCTAGTTCCAGTCCTTGACATGCGCATAGTTGTCTATTTGGCATATGTCAATTTACCATACATCCCTCCCCAAAAAAGTGACACCGACACCAAAGTTAAAGTGAAATTAAATATCACAGTTTTAATAATATATATATATAAGCAAAGCAATACAAAACGCCGTAACAAACGAATAATTGGCACAGAAGAGGAAGATAACAGATTAACAGCAGATACCACGGACATGTTGTCCGTAAAGAAAATCACTCTTCTATCCTTCAACATGGGTCCCCAGAGAGCTAATGCCACCAGCAAGTGAAATAGTTCCAAGAAGGCCAAGTTGCGAATCATGGGATTCACCTTACAACCCTCGGGCCAAGGTTCTGCGCATTAGCAGGTAATGAAATATGCTCCAAAACCCACACTCCCAGAAGCATCCGTAAAAAGTTCCAAATCCGGAAAAAGGATAGCCTTGTAACTGACACCTCCCGTCATTTTTGCAAGGAACCAACTAAAGACCCTCCCCACCGGCACAATCTGACATGCAAAGTTAAACCGACCAACCAATGATTGAAATGTTCTCAGAGTCACCTTGCGCGCCTTCTGTATTTATTGAACGACCTGTCATAGCGCCTGCAGCTTATCATATGGTAGCCAACATTTCCCTGCTAACTAGTCAATTTCAAGACCCAATAAACTAAGACAGTGGTCAGTCCCACCATGTTTTCACCCGCCAAAGGCAACCCAAAAACACGAGTGACCCATTTCAGCATCCTCAACCCAACTCGGTAGGCATCCGAACCGGCAGGACCGACACAAAAAAATCTTCCAGATAGTGAACCTTGAACTTGCCCCCTGACTCCAACATGACCACCCATTCAAGGAAAGCACTAAACTTTTCAAAGAGAGCACAGGAGATGGAGTATCTCATGGGCAGACAAAGATCAACAAAGTAGTTTCCCTCGAAATGACAGACCCCGGAAGATGGTGGCAAGCCAGATGAATTGGTAACAGACGAAACGACAATTAAACATCCACTTTTGTAAGCAGTGCCCCTCGCCCCGCGGTCCTAACCAACTTGTCCGCCTGGTCAAATGACGCATAGGACACTGAGCACAAAGCCGCATCAATGTCATCATTAACTGATGACCCTTTCGGGTAAGAAAGGTGATGAATGAGACGATATTTCCCAGGTTCTTTCTTCAGTACCACCCTCAACGGAGAAATACGAAGGTTGGGCAGCGGAAGATCTTCAAACGTTTCAGACAATCTTTCCAACTGGACCTCCTTACCCAGTTTTTCCCTGACCACATCAGGAAACTCTGCAACTGATTTTAAATTATAGAAACGCCGATCAAAAACTTTTTCCCAAAACCGAATCACGAAGTCGTATGTAAAACCCTCCCTCAGTAGTACTGCATCCACCTGGTTGCCATAGTGGTTTAGCCACGGCAGCATTGCGCAGACCCTCAACGGCGTTGACCCCAGTGGAAGTAGATGGGGCTCCGGGACCAGACCACCCTCCCGTGACCAACTGTCTACGCTTGAAACAGCGGTTCAGACTATGCGTCCCACCACAACCGGAACACTCGTGCTTAAATCTACACATTGTGCCTCACTTACACTGCCCTTCGTTGAAGCACCAGCAGAAATTTTTCTTGTGCGAGGCCGATGAGGCGGAGGCAGAGACAGCGCTGGCCCCAGACTGAAAGAGTGTCGCCGTCTTTTGCACCATCATATGTTTGATCCACAATGGCAGGTCTATTTGATCCCACCGCATGCCAGGGTTAGCCAAGAGATGCTGCCTAAATTGCTCTTCGTATAGCCATCCAGCTATACCCCCAGACGTCCAGAACACCTCCCATATACCATCCTGGTAACTAAAACGTTGAGAACACCGCTCCTGAGATTTTTTGCCTAAAATGCTTGACAAAATGCTAAACACTCGCAATCAGTTGCCAAACGACTTCGGTACCTTACGATACCTCTGCCGTTTTTCTTCCTCCTTTAGAGCAATATAATCCTCTAAAGTAAGAAGCGAGAAACTCACCTTTCCAAATCTTATCCTTCAGTTTCTGCTTCAGGTGACAACCAAACTAACCCGAGAACGAGATATGCACATTCTGATGCACAGCATCCAGAAAGCCTCCCACCAACTCCACCCGTTTGGACCCTAACTCAGGCCCCGTGAATGTTGATGCCATCGCCGTTACGCTCATTCCCCCACTTACCAACGGAGATAACCCCGTCACCCCGGCCCTAGATGCCCCTGCACTCAGCTGCCACACTTGCCCAAAACTCCCCAGCTGACCCTACCCTGTACCCCAATTGTCAAGAAATACCCTGCAAAAGATCCCCAGAACTTAAACCCTGCAAAAGATCCCCAGAACTGTGAACAGAGGATTACTCACCAGCCGAACCCTCCATGTTGCCAGGAATACAGCTCAGTATTCCTTGAATTTGTTTCCCCGAGAACTTAACACTCACTCTTGCTAAAAGATAGAGATGATGTCTGCCCTGAGCTGATGCCTTTTTCTCATATCAGATAGAGTTCTCTACACCAGATATATACACTCATCGACCACGGAGTATCAGAAAAGCTCATTTGAGCCGTACAATCCATAAAAACAGCTGAGGTGCAATCGTACGCAAATCGCCAAAGAGTATTTATTTGCCCACAAGGTCACAAGATGACTTTCTAAGTGAGTGGAGATTGAGAAAACATGATTTCTTCCTATGCAGAAAACACAGAGAAATTTGATTAGCCGAGTCCTGTTCAGATTATTTAAAAAGGCGAACACTGTATCATGTTGCATTGGCAGTAAACGTACGATTGTACAGCGTACGATTGTACATTGTACAGCGCTGCAGAATTTGTTGCTGCTATATAAATAATAATAATAATGATAAACTAATTAAATATGTTTTCTTTCTGAATCCTGGGTCTTGTGTTATATGTAACTGGGTAGGGGGCTTGATCCATAAGCGAAACTAAAACATCAACACTGTGGGGCCTTAATCACAAAAAGGGGGATTGTGGAGAATTAACAAGGAAATTTTAGGCTAAAATAGGTGACTTTGAAAATTTGCCAGGAATACACAAGATGACCTAACCCCCTCGTTTCTGGAGAATCTGTAGTGTAAGGAATACAAAGTTATTTTCCTGACACTATAGTGGCCCCTGGCCCCCCCCCCTCCTTGTGCTCCCCAACCGACAGGAGTACCTAATGCGCATGCGCAGCTAACGACATGAGTATATAATGTCCAGCCCATAGGAATTTCGTATGGGAATTTCTCTGATGCTAGATGTCCTCATGCAGTGAGTTACATTGCAGGACTATGTGTGTCAGTGACACTGCACCCTGACTGTTTCAATGAGCTAAAGTGGTCTGGGTGCCTCTACTGTCCCTTTAAGGGTATTTATTTTATTGCCATCAGAAAGATGAAAGCCTGACTTGACAGCGGTGTTATTATACCTTGAAATTAACAGAATACAATGCTAAACTACTATTTACAGTTTGCAGTCAATAATTCTTAATAATAATCTATCATTAGACAGAAAAGGCTAAGAATTACACTGAAAAATAATGAAAAGGCGTCCATATTATTATTATATAGTATAATATTATTCAAATATTTTCTGAAAGGTAAAAAGAAAATAAACTAGGAGTACAAATTCTCCCTGGGCTAAGGGTACCATGAGTCAAAAGGAGCTGAGCTACATGGAACACTGCAATTGATACAGATTTATTGGTTTAAACATGTCCGGCAATAAATGTGGTTAGTAATAAGGATGTTATTGTCATTTTCTATCCGTACAGGCCCGCCAGCATCGTCACTCAAAATGACAGAATTTAAAGGAAAAAAAGGTGTAATGGGATCCCCAGGTCCCAAAGGAAAAGCAGGTCCCATGGGTGCACCTGGTCCCAGTGGAGATAAGGGCGTGATGGGCGTTCGTGGGGACAGTGGAATGCCTGGGAATCCCAAACGTGATCACCAATCTGCGTTCACTGTGGCACGGACAACGATACAGTTCCCGCAGAAAAATGAACCCATCATCTTCAATAAAGAGATCAGCAACGACCACAAAGATTACAATGTAGCAACTGGAAAGTTCACCTGCCAAATCCCAGGACTGTATTATTTTGTTTACCATGCCTCTCTGTCCTCCAACCTGTGCGTCTCTCTGTACGTTGGGGAGGAACGAAAAGTCAGCTTTTGTGACCATAAGACCAATGAGCACCAGGTCTCCTCTGGAGGAAGCCTTGTCCAGCTCACTAAGGACCAAGAGGTTTGGCTGGCGGCCAATGATTACAATGGGATGATCGGAGTTAGCGATCACAATAGTGTATTCTCAGGATTCCTTGTTTTCCCAGAGTAAACGCTTAGCACTCGCTATTATCACATGGGGTTATGGTGGAGGAAGTGCATGTATTTTATAGCCAGATGTGACTAGTATCAGAAAAAGTGTACACATATATATATACACAAACATAGCAGACAATAAAAGGAGAACACATCTGGCAGAAGTATACTATTTCAATTTCATTCTATCCATATTTTTTTTTATTACTGACCAGGTTTCCTTATAACGAAAGAGAAAAATCAGTTTGGCTTATTGACTAAACTGTGGATTGAAAATCAAATAGTATATTTCAACCCAAAATGGCCGATATAGAAAAAAATATCCTACTCAGGTGTAGCTCGGGTGAGCTGTATTATTCTGTACTTTTCTTTTTTCATTTCACCACAATTCACTGTAGTGAATAAACTATCTTGTATCTATATATCTATCTATCTCTCTCTCTGTCTATCTATCGCTCGATCTATCTCTCTCTGTCTATCTATATATCTATCTATCTATCTCTCTGTCTATCTATATATCTATCTATCGCTCGATCTATCTCTCTCTGTCTATCTATCTATCTATCTATCTAGCTATCTATCTATATATATATCTCTGTCTATCTATCTATCTATATATCTATCTATCTATCTATCTATCTTTCTGTCTATCTTTCTATCTATCCATACATCCACCTATCACACTGCTGTATTGTTTATATTGCAATTTTTTTAAATAAAATGAATTGTATTTTTAATTGCAAGCTCCCGTGCGTAGGCAACGTGTGCATTTATTGATGTAATTGATGTTGGTGTCTGTTGTTCATTGTGTACATTTTGCAATTGTGTTTTCTTTCACCAACTGATAAGTGCACGATGCATCTCCTTTCTCGTGTAATAACTAACTTTGAGCCGCAGAAAAGAAGCTTGATGTATCTCACAGCATTCTTCTAACACTGTATTCTCCTTACAATCTGCAATTGTATTGTGTTTTACACAATGCTTGTATGAAATAAACTGGTTTAAAAAACTATTTGCATAAAATGACCTGTTTGTGACAGACAGACAGACAGATAGATAGATAGATAGATAGATAGATCGATAGATAGAGATATAGATAGGAAGGCAGACATACAGACAGACAAACAAACAAACAAACAAAAATATAAATACCACAGTAGTAATCTAGGTTTAGTAAACTAAACTTAGATGATGGATTAACAAACCTGTTTAGCCACATGTTACAAATTGTCTATAATATTACTAAAATGTAATCATCATATTTATCACGAAAGGAGTATTCAATTTACCCAGAAAATAAGGTGTGGGCAAATCCAACGCGATTATCTCCAGTACCTGACGCCCCCCCCTTTGTGCATTCTGTGATAAACCCCCTCTCTGCTCAGCTCCCTCTGTATATTTTCATAACTCTGAGCACATGGGATAACTTATTCCGGAGACTGGATTGCAGATCCCATCACATCCCCCCTGACCTTGTGCCTGAGATTAAACACAACACCCTGTTTTTTTTTAATCTAAAAAAGTTAATTAAATTATCGCGGCAAGACAAAACCGTATGTGAAACACGGAGTCCCTTTACACTCAAAACAGGAAAACGGGGGTCAGTTTAAAAGAAAATTCCTGCGATTCCATACAGAGTGAATTAATGGTTTTAGCGTTAGCTGTTTAACAAGCGATAAAGTAAATAATCTGCACATTATCCGCAAGTATATATTTCAATATTTATTTCAGAGATTGGGGTTAGTTTACTGCAGTCCAAACTGCTATAATTACTACAGAAGTCTACACAAAGAGAACGTGGGGGTCAGAATCACACGCGCAGCTTATACTCTGGTTTATTTTATGATTTTTTTTTTTATACGCTGAAACTAGAACAATACATATCTCAGTAAAAAAAACAAAACTTTTTAAACCTTGGCCATGAAGTGAGATAGCTCAGCTGATAGAGCTCCAGATGTGGCATCTCTGAGCTTCTGGTTTGGTTCCTAGCAAGTTCCACTCAAGCTAAGTTTGATAATAAAATTACAATCCCAGGACGTACTGAAACCCCTTATTATTAACATGTAAATAGCGCCAACATATTCTGCAGCGCTGTACAATTATAGAAAGGGATATTTAGAGGTGAAGAAGGCCCTGTTTAAACTTTGAGGCTTTCATGTAGGTGGATATATATCATTAATTGTTCTGCCCAGGGACTCCTACTGGTAAGGTACCTTTTCGGGTTAAAGTTTTAGGTGATGTCATTTGTATTTTATAAGGGAAAAAAATCTGTAAAAGTGAAATATTAAAATATGTTAGAAGTATTTTGTAAGATTTATTTAATGCAACACTGAATTGTTTTGAATTGGAAAACAGAATTGCAAAATTTAGGCAAAAAGTGTAAAGTAGGGACGGGACCTGATCGCTGACCGGGAAAGTCGCATGTACCATGAGCTCCTGAGGGAAAACCTTCGGTATAAACCTAATACTGGATGGCATTAACCCATTCTAGACCACAAACGAATTACTTACCTGAGGGACACTCTGTCTGGTGTCTGACCTGCTTCTGTTTGACACCGATGAGCATAACTTACGAAAGGCCTCTCTGCGGCTTGCAGCCATACTCGTTACCTATTTCTTTTGATATTCTGAGAACATGTCAACGATTATCGCTGTTTAACTTATTGCACAACAAAAACAAAGAATTATTAAAAAAATTTAAAAAGTGTAAAGTAGGAAAAATTTCCCAATTCAACTATAATCGCGGCTTGTCTATTTTAACCTAAATTGTGCCGATTAGTTTTTAATTTACTGAAATTCCCTGTTTAGTGAATAAACCACTATGTCTTGTTATCAGGCACACAGAGTTTTTTACTACAGTGATTTTCCAATACAAGGCTCGAGTAGCTGAACTGAACATATACATGACGAACAGAATTTCTCCAAGTCGGCTATTTTCAATTTGAAATTTACTTTGAATTCTCACTTTAGTGAATAGCCCTGACAGTCATATATGGAATTATTGGGGTATCTTAAAGAGAATTTGGGAAGTTACCTAGAATAAACCCCTACTACCTATTAAAGGGACACTATAGTCACCAAAATAAATGCCAAAAAAGGGCATTTAAAGCATTTAAATCGGACAAATCAGAGGCATCCTATATAAGATATAAGGAAGCCAATAATGCTTGCAAAAAGGCAATTAAAGTCTTACTGCTAAATTCTTTGCCATTTAGGAGTTAAATAACTTTGTTTATACAGCCCTAGTCACACCTCCCTGCATGTGACTTACACAGCCTTCCTAAACACTTCCCGTAAAGAGTAATTTAATGTTTAAACTTCCTTTATTGCAAATTCTGTTTAACATTGAATTTCTTATCCCCTGCTATGTTAATAGCTTGCTAGACCACGAGGTCCTGTATGTGATTAAATCTCAATGTAGAAAGCAGTAGATAAACATTTTTAAAGTAAGTTACTATCTAATTGAAAGTTAAACAATTTTTTTCATACAGCCAGGGTAGGTGTGGCTAGGGCTGCATGGAGAGAAACAAAAGCGATTTAACTCCTAAATGGCAGAGAATGGAGCAGTGAGACTACAGGGGCATGATCTATACACCAAAACTGCTTCATTAAGCTAAAGTTGTTTTGGTAAATATAGCGTCCCTTTAAATTATAAACATAATATCTTACGGTCAGTGTAACGAACGCTGGTATTGCAGGTACCGGTTCGCCTATTTAATCCCGAACTGCTAGAGCCTGAGTGATTATAGCTCGCAGTTCGGGTGTTGATTTGAACGTTTCTTCAGACAAATTACAGCCACCAATTATATTCTCCCAGTACAGTAGACTGGTACTCAAACATTAGTCGAAACTAGATGAAGTGTGTAACAGGAATGCTTTATTCAGGCTAACCACCTGGCTTTTATGCAGTGAACAATGCACAGGGTTTCAGTTGACATATTCCAGGGGCATTTCCCACTGGAACTGAATGAGGACAGTGACAAAATACATTCTGTAAGTCTATCTCAGGTCCAGGACACTCCTACATACAGTAAAAGAATCTTCCCCTGTACTGGGGAGATAAATGAGTCAAGCAATTTACTGAACTCAATTATCTCCCAACACAAAAAATATACATTTTGGTAAAACTTAGAAAGTACCCCAAACTCCATGGGAACCACACAAAATACATATTTCCTGATAGCCCCAATCTGGGTAATTTTTGCATATGTTGGTCCCCCAGATCGGTTCAGGGGTTGAAAAGTTACATGGAGGTCAAAAACCGAAATAATCCACAAACGGTTCCCCTGGCTCATAGACAGCGTTTGTTCCCCTAGTTCGTGGGAACAAATCTACCGAATAGCGCTCTCCTGGCTGGTTGATGAAAGGAAGCAGGCGTTCGTGAAGTTTGACTGGTGTTCGGGAAGTCGAGTGTCCGATTTTGGTTCCAGATACTCGACGACCAAGTACCACTGTCTCCTTTCGTGCGAACAAGATGGCCACCATTTTCTCTTACACGTGGGGTTCGACTATACGAATGGCGGCCACACATGGAGAGCATTAAATTGGCAGTTTGCTTTGAAGTAAATGAGCCAGGGGGGTGGTTGGTGTTCGGTAGTTTTATCTACCGAACAGGAAAAAACTAAAGTACCCAAATAACAGGGGTAGTTTCTTCACATTGCTCCCCCCTAGTTCTATGGGTCGGCATAACCACTTAGACCCTGCCAGGTTGGCTTGGGGATGTCCGTCCAGGGAAGTCAATCAAGGTTCCAACTCCGTTTGCCGGGATAAACCATCAGCATTGCCGTTCTGTTTGCCTGGCCTGTACTGCATGGTGAAATTGTAGGGTTGCAGGGTGTGGCAAACCTAGCCACTTGGACATTATTTCTCTACTGTCTCTTTAAGGGTTGCCGGTATGGGGTTCCTATTGTGTGTTCCAGCATGTATTGTAATGCACTGTTAATGATGTATTGCCTGCCTGGGCTATCTGCCGAACGCAGATAGCTGATTCCCCTTCGTTTCACGAACGGCACCTTTGCGGGCCGTTCGGGAACCGAACAAAATATCCTTTAATAGCCCACACACTTAGAGGCGTGTGGCGCCTATTAACCGATTGCAACAATGTTGCAATCGGTAATTAGAGGCTCTCCTGGGTGGCCGCCGTTCGACTACCGACCATGCGGCGGTCGGCCATCTTGGATCCTTTGTTCCCTCAGCGGTGTTTGGTCGTCGAGCGCGTGGTACTAAAAACGGCTACTCGACGGCGCGAACACCGCTGAACCTCCAGACCGTTCGGGAGGTCCGGGACATTCGGTATTTTATTCCCTTATCTGTAATCGGTGTTTTCAGGCTATGTGTTAGTGAATGTGTTTTTCGTGCGGCGTTCGGTTGTTTTAGCTGGGATCTGAGCGGTAATCTCATGAATGATGCGCTCAGACCCCAGCTATCTACCGAACGTCCATTTGTTTAAATAAACCAGATATTCATGAAGTTATTGAATTTAATATGAATTGTGAGTTCTGCTGCACGGAGGGATAATCCACTTAACGGTATATTCCAGTGGGAGGATCCCTCTCGTACAGTAGTGCCTGATGGGAGAAATGTCCTGTATTGTAAGTCCCCCATGTAGTCCCCTCTGGGAATGCCCCTGAGAGGGGACTCAGGAAACCCCTTGCATGGGGACGTGTATAAATTGTGGAGCTGAATTAAAAGACCTCAGTTGACTCCCAGCCTATGTGTCGTCTAGTTCTTGGGAAGGAAGGGTTACTGCAGTGCTGTTTGGATTATTGTATGCTGATTCCCCTGGATTATCCTTTGTTGTTCCTGTTACCCAGCAGAGATATCGTGGATTATACTGCCTCTCCGCTACACAGGGCCAGGCTCCAGCGTAACAAACAGGGATTGTCTCCAGCAACTCAGTTTAACCAAATAATGGGGTTTTGGTCAGTCATGAGCGTGAAGGGACGGCCGTACAGGTATGGGTGCAATTTCTTCAATGCCCATACAAGAGCCAGGCATTCTTTCTCCACGGTG